ATGTGAATACTTTAACCAGCCCTTTTTCCTCCATTTTAAATATATCAGTCAGTATATTGTAGGCTCTGAATAGCATTGCGTAATTCTCAAATAACTTTCTTCGTTCTCTGTTTTGTTCTGTTGCTGTGTGTTTATTGTCGAATGTATAAAATCCCTGTGCAGTAGCTCCTGGAATTCGTTATGTACTTTTGGTGTCTCAAGGAACCTGTTGTGCTTAATAATGCAGGGTAGCACTCGTAACGTCTCGGTGGTCGTAGAAAACACGACAGGAATACTATCCGTGCCACCTTCAGCAGGTGTAAAATCCAAATGCAGTGGAATGTTCAGAAAGAGACCACTTCAAGACTTAACACTTAAACCTAGCAAACCAACGAATGCATGTGCAGTTCATGTGTTTTTAGTAGACTTAGTTTGCTTGAATTAAAGATTTCTGACCTGTGCCACTGACCCACTATAAAATGTTTTCTTGGATTTTTTTAAACCTCTGTTTACCGACTTCGACTAAGAACAAGATCAGTGAGTAGTCAACAATCAAGAAAGATCATTTCAATGGGTCGCACTATCAGTCAAAATGTTCGTATTCGTGGAAATCAATGATTTGCTTCTTGGGTAGGATCGCATAATATTGTCACACATTAAAGGCGAAAAACCCATTTATAAACGTCAAATTGGTCGCCAAATTTGCTCTTTGCTTGGTTTGATTAACCAATGTGGTCACCGCACCACCTGCGTGATTTTGGTCCTTGATAAGATTGAAGCTGCATGCCAAGAAAAGGTCTCTACGCTTCTGGTCACCGCTACTTGCCTATTGCAATCGCCATCAGCGTTGTATAAACGCAACCAAATTTTACTATCTCTCCGAGGCGTCTTATATATGTGTCATGTGCTTCATAGCAGTTTATGATAAATGGAGTTGAACAAATTCATTTATGGCAAAAGGTTGATTATATTTATGTCAATAACACATAATTTCTTACTAGATTCGATGACTCACGACTATCCCACCAAAATGCAGGACAGCGTCAATCACAAATGATAAAACATGCAGAATATGAGACAGTTTCAACAAGTCTGTTATCCCATATGCATGCCATGAGATGACCCAGAGTTTGAGTGTTCCATTATTTGAATGTCAGAAGATTTAAATGGACGACCTGGCAGGAATGCAACTAAATCAAATTGCCAGCGCGGCTGTGCAGGGAAAGCAACCCTGTAAATATTGACCATGTGGGTCAATAAAACAAAGCTAAGTCAATTGTAATTTGTGGTAATTTGAACAGGGAATGATGGGCATCAGGAAACCAATTAGTGGTAATACAAATTTCCTCCTATGAAAATCAACCACATTTCCATGTGCAATTTTTCTGCGAGTTAGGCAAGCTGGACGCATAGGCATAAATACGTATGCATATAAGAGAATAAATGAAAGTACTTAATGAAAATAGTGGAATAATGTGACCCACTTTCGGTGGCTTGCGTCTGTTATCAGTGAGACAGCCCTAAATGCAATGATATCCTTGTTTATCTCTTTCTCTTTGGACTTCTTGCCTTGGAACGAAAAGAATGACTAGTTTGCAACATTTTTAACAGGGAACAGAAATCGGGGGAGACTTGTGTTCACTGACCGCTTCTTACCTAAGAGGGCCATTCAAGCCAACACGTAGTACATCACCATTCGTCTTTCAGCAACGTTTCTGGTGCTCCTTTCACAGGTAATCCCTGCATTTGGTGGTGGTCATTCCTCTTGAGTTATTGCGCTACTTCATTTTCGTATCTTACTCGTGATGTACCTTTACACGGATGCATCTTTTTGTGATATTCGCTGATTATTTGAGAACACAGTTGTGCATTGTGTACGTGGTAGTTTGTCGTTTCGATGAATTTAATCACCCGTAATGCATCTGTGCTCCATATATAATGCACAGTTGTACTAGGTCTACTTCTTGGTAGCTGTTAGTCTGGCTGTTTGTATTTGTTCGGAGAAGAGAGTTTACTCTGAACAACCATGACAACGATCATTGTGCCCACCAAGAAAAAAAGCTGTAAGTGATTTAGAATCAGGATACTGGTGAGTACACGCAGCAGAAACGGACAGAGGGAGGATAGATTTCATACTATTAAACGACGGTTTTCATTTCGGGACGACGACTTTTGAGTTTAGCAACGCAATGACTACCTTCCAATTCCCAACGCAAGCCTCATTGATTGGCTTATTTTCTAAAACACTGTAACATATATCTTGATATTTTCGTCTATAGCAGGATTTTTGAAAGCACGACGCTAGCCTGGGACGAAGAACTGCAGCGTTATGATTTTTTAGTAAGGCACGGGGAGAGAACTTCACATAGTAATGCGAACACCCTCTTTCTCAGACCACTCGAGGCAGGAACAGCTGGTGTTACAGTGAATGTCACAATCTTAGGCGAGCCCATTCAGCATCATTGAAAGCATGCGTATGGTACTACTTTCGACAGTAATGCGGTATGCAAGGTGCTCCTTAAACCCTCTTGCATACCCAGAGCGAAAGCAATGAACTCGAATAGCAAAAGGGCGATCAGATATGATACGAATGGTGGAAACTAGATCTTGACGATTAGGTTTTTATCTAACAGCAGGCTGCTGGGTCTCCTAAAAAAAACCCAATATTCTCAGACTCATAAAAAATAGTTCTTTGAAAGTTACTCTGGCAAGTGTACTACACGAGCGAAAAGATACTAGACACATCGAGCATAAGATACTGAGTGCCTGATATCACCTTAGACCTACTTCATGTCTGCAGAACCTGAGTTAGTTGTAACATCTTCTAAGACCTCACCTAGGCGATCGCACCACTCTAACATATACCAGTAAAGTTTCCAGAGGAAGGATTAGGTATTGACATCATGGGTTCGCTACCACCCACCCAAGGAGAAAACCGATAACATATTTGTTATGGCTGATAAATGAGCCGGAGCCCACTAAGACGCAAGACGTCAAAATGATTGCTTAATATTCCTTCAATTACGGGCATTATTAACATGGAGTGCCTAAAACGGCATTTAACATTTACGACTCTAACTATGAAGACGGACTTCCCTGAATTATGCAAGGCCTTTGAAATTCCCAAGAAGTAAACGACACCTGAACATCAACTTGGCAATGGAGAGGTGGAATTTGAGGAATTTTACTCTAATTCGACCATCAAAGACGTTTAATGAGGACGCAGAAAATAGACAACGACCTAGGCCTAGGAGAACAAACTCTGTCAGAATAGCATCTTCCGTGAAGGAGACCTAGCACAACTAATCTGGCCGATCGCGTCATCTGAAGTGGACCGCAAATCCCATCGTCCATAGAGCATGATACATTCCTAATAATGTAATTCTATTCGCCAACAAACTACCTCTTTCGCAACATAAAACTCTGCGCTTAATTACTGACCCTTCATTACAACAATCCGTTACCATGCAATGGTGGATGCAAAGATGAGGTTTGCATACTAAAGACGGAAAAAGAAAACCACCACTGATAGCATATATGGAGACCATGTACAAGAAGAGAATTGCGGAAGGTGCTCAAAAGAGGAGGGGTTATGTCATACCTGCTTGCTTAAATGCATCTCTTGGAGTAGAAGCGAGAACACGCCCATGAATTCATGAAGCGAAGATTCGCATTTTGAAATAAAGATATCATGCACTTTATTTTGAACGACTTGTGTTTTAATTCTCACCATTCTCAATTGCTTCAAAATGCAAAGTTTATGCCTGGTATGCCATTGTAAAGACTTCGTGAAAATACCTATTTTGACCAGTTGACTGGAATGAGACTTCAATATTTTATGAAGTAGTGCAACATGTTTAAACTAATTACTCTTTATCAAGCCTGATTGATAGTGACAATGCCCTTGTACAGACAGGGCAATTTGCTAATCCATACGCTCTTAGTGCAGTGTAGCAAAGTGGAACATTGCCATACCGCTGATTATCAACAAATGACCACATTGAACGCATCCAACACAGGCTTATCACTATGATGTAATTGCATCCATAATTGCGACCACTGAAAAGCTCTTGATATGAAATACTTCATAAATTATTCCAGACATTGTGTAATTCAGGTCAGACTGCTTTGTGGACTTTGGATGTTTCTCCTCCTCTCACTAGGGTGAAGCAGATTAATCTCACTAAACAACGTTAAGCCCACGATCACGCACAAAAGCGCACTTGAGAGTTTTACAAATACAAAGGCTTCTCAGTAATTTTAAGTCAGAATCGACAGCACAATTGATGGTGGGAGGCATTTTTAACGCGTAACTGAATCAAATCTGATTATCAGTCGGATCTATCAACCAAGACATTTGAGAATGTTTATCATCGTGTTGCCTTCAAACTATCTACAGCCCCCGAGTCTTATCTGGAGCTGTAAATTGCCGTATTATTGTGGTGGAAAATGTACCAAAGACTTGAAGACATACTGAGAAGCTACCGGCATGATGCGAAGACCATGTTGTGAGTGTAGTGTAATATGCGGAGAGCTGAGTGCCCGCATCACCAAGTGAATAGCAAAACAAACTATTAAATTATCACATATCCCTTATCTACTGCACTCCTACACATCGTGTTAAGTGTAATCTGTCTATTACTTAATTCAAACAGAATAAAATGCATTTAAGTAAGCCCGCCATCAGCGCATTCGAATCTAGCATTGATTCTGCATTATTACTATTGTAGTATTACCTTCATGTATGCAATGGTGAAACTAACTACATCATGATTCTCACTTCTTCGGATCGAAGCGCACCTATTATGATGTGTTTAAACCAACGACCTGGCAGCAATTGATAAATTTGCATGTCAATAGGCAATAAAGTAGTACTAAACATACAAAACTGACTCCTGTACCAAATTATAACAAAATGCATCCCAAAAGTGACGCTTTATCTTTCTGCGTAGACACACAAAAATTAAGATGAAGTATAAGTGTGGTCCCCAAACATCACCCACAGAGACGACACCCACGTGCTGCTATTTTCTACACGACTGAGCAGAATACAAGTGGCTGTCAAGAAATCAGTCCAACACGAAATTTGATGGAGTGCTTCTTGTGCCGACATTCAATGCTGCTGTATTCGATGACAGCAGCATCAATGCGGCAAGAGATGGCAGTTTACCTAAAAGCAATGCTTCAAATGTAATAACAGTTTCAGGATCAGCCGATACTGACACAACCAATTCGTCAATGGAGATGCTGAATCAACCACCCTAAAATCAGAGGCTGTAATTCTTGCATCCAAAACAGTAATTAGTACAGGCAAAATCGCAAACTCAACAGGTGATGAAAACCTCCCAACTCCAAAATGAGGTACCAACTGAGCAATTACCATGGGTTTTTAACATGTGCAATCCACAATTAGGACTGAAACACCCTAACACCAACACATTGTTGAAAGAGTCATGCCAGATACAGGCGTTAGAATTACTAAAATTGCAACAACAAACCCTTCCATATCTACAATCCCGACAAACGAACACATGACTCACATTGTATAACTCCACCTCACCTCTTATCTCACATTCCTCTCCCATTCCTCTGTTCATCACTGCGCCTCCTCTTTGTCCTTAAATGCTATTGACCATTTCCCCCACTTTATGATCTGCACTATAGTAAGAATGCATTTTCTCACTCCATTAACTCCTAACAGCACTTTCGTTCTCTTGCAAGCACATTGTAATTATGCTTTGAGCGTTTACTTTTCACATCTTTGACTCAAGAACTGTGTAATTCAAACAACGGCTAAAATTACAGAATTTTGGAAATGTTCCACAATGGAGGCATGGCCTAATTTTAAGCAAATGACCTGTCAATATCAAAAAGTAAATTGCTGAATTTGGTATTAAAACGGCTCAAAACACCTTTGTTTTATTTTATTTGTTTTGTAAGAAAGGCCGTCTAATTTGTTTTATTTGTTTTACATACTGCTACTAATCACACGGCATTATGGGGTATGCAAACATTTTCATTTTACCAATGGTCGACGTAAAATATAGCAATTTATTGAAGATTTCTGCAATGGGTGAAATATTTTTATGTATCAAAGCAGCATATCTCTAGTAGACATCTTAGACGAAATACCACTAAAGTATTCCTGCGGTGCTTTAGTTTGCCTTACTTTAACATTCAATAGCTTTGACTAACCTGAAGTAGTCAATAAGTCGGTTGCAGAACAAATCAGCTCAAATGTCACGCTTACCATGTGTGCAGCTTCAGTTAGTGCTGATGGTGATGCTAATACCATTAATGATGCCTTAGCTGTCATGGGAGGGTTTGATAAATGCTCTCAATTTGATGCTTCTCATATTTGCTGCACATTAGAGTGTTTGTCGGCTTCGTGTCAGGCTATGGAGAAACGATATCACTGTAGATGGATGAATTAATATTTCCGCCGCTTGAACAGATGCTGCGGTGCTAATTACTACTTTTTCCGTTCTTTGTCAATAGGCTACATGAGCCCC